GGCAGGTGTTCTGGTGAGCCAGGCGCTGGACGCAAGAGGCAAAGCCGGCCTTGTCTCTAACTACAGAGGGGAGAAGGAGAGAGTGTAACTGCTGGGCGGCATGACGGTTGGGGACAGTGGCGCGGTGTTATATTATATAAAAACTTGGGGCAAATGGTGGCACAATGCCCGTAGTTCCAGCTACTCGGAAGGCTGAGCAGAGGATTGCTTTGAGGCCAGGAGTTTTGAGGTCACTGTGAAGTGAGGGCTGGAACGCCACCGGCACTCACTTCGTAAGCTTGAGCACAGGGACTCTTGTCACAAAAAAAAATAAAAAAGAAGTACGTCTAAACAGAGACAAACACATACAAGGGTCAGTTCTCAAGGAAACTTTTCCTCCTCATTGCACATGGAGGAGGAATATGTTCTCACGCTATAAGTTTGGATGGGATCAGGAGTGGGAATCTTGCACAACATACTGTGTCATAGTGGATGGGAACCTGCTGCCTCAAGGCCACATGTGGCCTCCAGATGCCCAAGTGCGGCCCCTCTACCTAATCCAAACTTTACAGAACAAATCCCTTTATTAAAAGGATTTGCTCTGTAAAATTTGGATTCGGTCAAAAGGCCGCACTCAAGGATCCAGAAGGCCACATGTGGCCTGTGTATACATAACCTCTTATTTGTCAAGTAACTAAGTGTAGCTTTTAAAATGTCATCTTTTCTTATTTGACTTAGGAGGTACATGGGTGAGCCCTGCCCCTACCAACTAATTCTGACACAACCCCTATTTTAGCAGCAGGAAACGCTACCATCAATCTGATATCTAAAGGTACGACTCCGCAGCCAAACGCTTTCGCATTTTCATACTTGTATTTCGGCGTGTAGTGATGTAGCTCTGACGATGAAGTAAGGGACCAGATGTGTCAGTGTTAGACTCGAGGGTTACAGTACTCACCCGGCACACCCATTCCAGGCGAAGCTGTTCTCAAATTTCTCCTGCCTCTCCAGATGGTCTGCATCTCCTAGCTCAGATGCTTTACTGCACTTGACAATTTTTCTTAAATATTTGGCTACAACTTATGAGGCAAGATTGTAATATAAAAGTGATTGATAGAAAAAATTAATGAGAGATATCTCCATGGTTTAAGGGTTTATGGCAATTTACATTGCAGAGTTTCTTTCATTAAAGAGCAATTTCTTACAGGATTTTCGTTTAAACAAATCAATTGTGGGGCATATTATTCCTTTCTCTTTATTCAAAACCATCAATGAGCTTTGAGGAGGGAAATAGATTTAACTTTGAAAAGAAAAACAAATACATATGATCTATGGGGATGTTGATGTAAGATATATTTCTCGCATTGGGTTAATTTAGATTTAACAAATATTGCAGACTCCAAATAAGAGAGTGGTTGGCAAGCCTGTTTAAGGAATATGTGATGCTGTGTACATATATTATATATAAATATTATATATACAGTCATGTGCCCCATGACGTTTCAATCAACAGCCACATAATACAAACAGTATCCCATAAGATTATAATTGTTTTTTACTGTACCTCTTTTCTGGTTTAGCCCGTATGTTCCAGATACACAAATGGGTCATGGCCGTGCTGCGTTTGCCATTACGGCATTCACTACATCACAGTCGTAGGTTTGCAGCCTGGGAGCAAACAGGCTGTAACGACATAGCCTAGGTGTGCAGGTAGGCTATGCACGGTTTGTGTAAGGCACACTGATGATGTGCACATCAACAGCAAAAGCACCTAGGTATGCATTTTTCTCAAGAATGTGTTCCCCGTCATTAAGTGACGTGGACTATCGGGAATCCCACCCTGTGCCCCTGAGTGAGTAACAGCTCCACCCTTAGAAGTGTCGAGGTAAAGTAAGCCAGAACATACGTACATCGTCTATGAGTCACTGGCTGCATATCTCCAATCTGATAATCATCCTGTCGCGAGGCTCATTTCCAAACAGATGGACAACGGCAGATTCCTTTAAATGCCCTTTCCTTGAGAGATCACTGAGGCCAACCTGAAATCGGAAGAGATCGTGCTGTCTGTTTCTATCCTACTCGACTCAGGTGAGGGCTCCCCAGGAAGCACCCCCCACGCCGCCTGTCAGCAAGCCCGCAGACAGGCTTCCGGGGAGAGTGCGTCCTCTCTACTTTGAACCATCTGCTTTAGGAGATCTTGGCTGCTGCACAGGGAGGGCAATTCCAGGTGACCATTTGATTTGCTCTCCACATCAGGGCCACATTAGACATTTATGGGCTTCCAGGCAAATTTGCCTCTGGGTCCCTTCCTCCATAAAAAGTATCTTGATATACATGATTGTGATGGATACAGAATAAAAGCCTGGCTGCATTCAGTGTTCTATATACATTACTACATATCATTGTTTCTTTTGACTTTAAAAGATATAAGACATTTCCGTGGCTCCTAAACGTATCCTGGCCCTATCTTTGTACCTAAAGGGAATCTCAGCCCTGCAAAAGTAGAACCTTTCATGTGAGCTGAATTTTGTTTCAGAGAGAAATATGCATCTTAGCCAAGATTGAGTAAATCTAAAGTCCACCACACCAGGCTAATTTTCTATTTTTGTAGAGATGGTGTCTCACTCTTGCTCAGGCTGGTCTCCAACTCTTGACCTCAAGCGATCCTCCTACCTCAGCCTCCTAGAGTGCTAGTATTAACGGCATGAGCCACCATACCACCCACCAGTTTATTTCTATATCAAAAAGTTTTATCCGACATCCCCCCCATCCCCACCAGGATGCTGGCCACAGGAGCTTTCCACCCCAATGGCTGTAATGTTCCGCACAAATAATGAGAGCCGACTTACAATGCCATGTTTGGACTTGAAAGAACTTGGAGACCATTTGGGCCAGTGTTTCAAGCTTTTTTTTTTTTTGTAGTATAACGCTTTATCATATGAAACGTACATAGAACACCAAGACATAAAGACGCTGTGATAGTCAGTCTCAGAGGCATGGTGTCCCAATCTTCCCCTCATCCCACTCAGCAGCCCCGAAGGAACCATCTGATCAAAACCAACCTCCTCATTTTAGAGAAATTAAGGCCCAGTTTGAGTCACTGCCCAAGCCACACGTGATGATTAGGTTTGAAAGGCAGAGAGCCTGGCAGGTCCAGACCGAAGCAGAGAGCTTAGGTTTGAACTCCACTCGCTACTTATGTGACCTTGTGTGACTAACTTCTCAGTGCTCTCACATAGATTGGAAAGAGTGCGTTGGTGTAAGGATCAAGTATTGTACATACAAACACGCAGGAAGCGCTCACTTACAGTCAACACCGCGGCAGTAAACGTGCCTGGTGATAATTTATTCATTGACGGATCCTTTCATTATAAATAGTCATCCAAGTGCTGCTGTCGGCAGACAGTGGAGATAAGTACTAAGTGTTCTGAGGATTTTATCCCCAGTGGCACTATGTGTCAGGACTCCGCTGGCCCAACGTCAGGAGAATGCCTTTGCCATTTTGTCAATGCGGATGAGCGTGAAGTTTGAAGATGGCACAAACGTTACAAAGACTTCACATGTTACGGAGCGTTGGACCCACTGTTGTCTCTGCAAGCCAGAGCTGCAAGCAGCATTGGGAGGTACGTCCCAGCACATCCGGGCAGCGACTCAGGCTTTCTGGTGTTAATTTTTAATGAAAATGCACTTGGGGGATTATTTTTCTGCTATTTCTGATCATCTAGAAAATTTAAGCTCTGCAGAAAAATATAAAGAAAGTGCAAAGCCATCCAAAAGCCAACCCCTTCAAGCAGTGATTCTTTTATTTCAGGTTTCTGTAATAAGATTAACGCACAAATTACATGATTTGAGTACATGCTATCTTTAAATTTTCACTTTTAATTAACCTGCATAATAAGTAAATGTCTTCAATACTGTGTCCTAAGACATCTGAAAATGTCCTTAAACCACATAAAGAAGATGAAATATTCAAAAGGCTTAAATGCCCTGCCTCTGTCACTGTCATTGTTTCTAGCATTTGAAAAGTAAGTTTTAAAATTCTTCCAACTAGTGCTTTTACAATACTTTTATCCACCTGTACATGATTGTCAATGATTATTAAAACCTGAGTTTCTTCTCAGATATGAAAATAACTCTATGCTTCCAAAACAGTTATGTAGAAACTTTTATTTGGGAAATACTTTACAACTATCTCAATAATTCAGTTATTTACCAAATATTTATTCAGCAAAGTGTGTGTGCCAGGCACTGGTCTAGTTGCTGCTTGCTCACTTGCTAGCAGTGAGCAAGATAGAAAAAGTCCCAGATCCAGAAAGCTTTGGTTTTAATTTTTTTTTATTTTTGTTTTTTACCCAACCTATTTGAAGTAAATCAACATTCCCAACCCATGAAGTTAAAAATAATAATAAAGGAGGACTTGGTAGGGAAAATCCAGGAACCAGTGCATCAGATACTAAAGAAAGTGCTAGGTTAGTTCCGGATGGGAACCAGAAAAGTATGCATAGGATGGAATGCGGTTAATAGAAAACTTAGGCTTGTGAAACAATAGCCACAGGAGTCTGGAGGTTGTAAATCTAACTCTGACCACAGCCAGTTGCTGAGCGCCAGCATTCCCACCCTCCCTGAGAAGGATGAAGCTACCACCCCCTAGTCTCTGCAGGATGAGACCAAGCAGGGGTCCCAGAAATTGGTTGATTACAGAGGCTGTTCTGGCCCAGTTGCTCACTCCCCCCAGAAAAACCCTCTATAAAACCCAAGACTTTCCCCACCCTCATGGTGGACGCTCGTTCGGCCTCCACCCATCTGCACCCAGATGCTCAAAATAAGCAGCGTTTTGCGACACATGAGGCTTTGTGTGTCTCCCTCTCAGCTCCAGACCTAACAGAAAGCTAAAGAAATTTCTGGAGGATACTTGGTCTAGATTTCATAGGTATACAGACTGCTCTCCACCTTTCCTTGCCGGATCAGTTTGGTGTCTGTCTTGGCCTCTTTTGTGAAATGTTTATGTTCTTTCCTGCTAGGCGATGGGATGACCAAATGCTGAGTGACGCCTGCCGCTGGGTCCTGGATGAGATTTACATCCCGCCAGCAGCTGAGGGCGGCATGGTGGAATACAAGCGAACCCTCATCATCAGCTTACTCTTCAAATTCTACCTCAAAGTGAGGCAAGGACTGAATAAAATGGTAAATGGCTTCTCTGTTAATCTTGGTGCCTTGACATTCAGGGCATGCGTCTGCACGTGGAAGACTTCCCCTGCCCGGCTTTGATAGTACAGTGGGGATACCTGGGCAGGGCCCTCAGGGTAGGGCTGCCGGCCTCCAACTCTTCTCCTGGGCCTGCTTTGCTGCTGTCCCACCCTCCCCCCTCCTTCACGCCTGGGCTGAGAAGGGGACAGCGTTGTTCCCTCATTTGCCCTCCAATCCACGTGGCAAAGGCTAATGTGCATACCAGGCTGACCTACGGTACTGAAAAGCCTTCTGTAAGCAAACCTTAAAATCTTTTCATTTACCAAAGATAATTGTTTTATTAAAATAATACTTTAATATTGAGAAAATGTGAATAAGCCAAAAAGGAGGAGAAAATCTTTTGTATTTCCATCACCCATAGATAATTACAATGAATATTTTGGTGTGTATCCTTCCAAACCCTTCATTATGGACATGTAAGTATATGAATAACTGTTTGGCATAGCTTGTTTATTTCACTTAGTAACAAAAACATCTTTCAATGCCATTAAATATTTTTCAGTGATAACATCAAGGCATAATGGTTGCATGGCATGTTTATGGATAGATGTGCTATGATTTGATCCATTCCTGAATTTTAGACATTTAAATTATCTCTAGTTGTGTGTTCACTATTTTTTTCTTACCTAGCCTAGTTTAAAATAAGCTGTGTTTCTCAGAATATAACCCATGATTGAATATAACCCATGAATGTCTCCTTGATAAACCACAAGGTGATCCCAAATGGCAGACAAATTACTATACCAACATTTCTTTTATGATTGACAGCTTTGCTCTGTTAGTTTAGCTAGTCCTTTTTATTATTTTATTAACATTTATTATTTATCATTTTTATTATATTCTATTATACATTATATACTATATTATATAATATATTCAGTATATAGATATATAATCAGTATATATTTAATAGATTACTATATATACTCTCAAATATGTTTTTATTTTATATATTATACATTATTATATATTGTTTTATATATTGCATTCTGTTTATTACATATTCTATCATTATAGAAGAACTCAAAATCAAAGAAGCAAAAATTTTAAAAATCAATTATAATCCAATAATCTTATCACAACCACATTAAAATTTTAGAATATATAATTTTATATTTTTCTATTCTTTTTTTTACAAAAAAATGGAATCATACCGTATGTAAATTTTTATAATTCTTTTTCACTTAACTGTATTTCATGAACATTTCCCAGTGTCAATAAATACATTTCTACAAAAGCACTTTTCATGACTGCAGAATATCATATCTGGATGTATTAATGCCCTAATTTATCTAGCAACTTCCCTGTTGTTGGATATTTAGTTTAATTCTAGTTTCTTTACTATGATAAATAATCTGCAGTTGAACATCTTTGTAGATTAATCTTTGCCTACTCCCTCTATTCCTCCTTGGGATACATGCCCACGACATGGGACCAGATTTGGAAGCACAGCCTCCATGTAGAAGGGCATATTTCCACTCATTCAAAAGGGGACCTCGTCATAAAAGGAAGTCTTCACCTCCTGTAAATAACATTCACTTTTGTGGGCACACAAATCAATGTAGTTATTCTACAAACAACTGTTGCTAGCATAGGGAATACAAGGCTCCAGGCTTTCTCCCAGCAGAATCAGCACCTAAGACCTGGGGTAATAGATTGGATAACTTTATTTCTATATGTGTTTTTCCAAGGTACTCATATAGATTGTAAAATTATATGAGAAATAATCTTCTTTTCAGGATCCCCAGAAGTTTCCTGATATCCCAGAAAAGTTCATGAGTGCTCTAGAAGATTTCCCCATAGAAACACCCCAAGGACTCCAGATGTTCCAGGTTGGTGGATGGGGCTCTCTGTGTTTTAACCTGTTTATGCATTCAGATGTACGCATTATGCATATACCTCCCTCTTTTCAATAACTCTGTGTTTTATTACTTGTAAAGATAGTGTCTACTTAGATCCAGCTGATATTGCCTGTTGCTGTCCATACATGATTATTTGGTTTAGTTTCTGTGCTGTTACTCAAGGCTACACAAGAATTAGATTCTGAATCATTCTTCTCCCACTATTATCAGCTGTGTTGCCTAAAATTTCCTCCTTATTTTGGCCAATGTTTGTCCTTCCATTAAAACCTGACTCAACATTTACTGTCTCTAAAAGCCTTCCCTGTTTTACGATAACTCCCTGAATCTCTTAGGATGTCTTCTTTGGGCGGTGGGAGGAGGAAGGTTGTAACCAAAATATATCCCTTACCATAGTACTTAGTGAAAAGTTGTTAACCTTGGCTCATGTATATAGACACCTAGTTGCCTATAGTTTTTTGTTGTTGTTGTTTTGGTTTGGTTTGGTTTTTTGACTTGGGAGTAAGCCAGATATATCAGACCCAATTTTCAAGTCATGAGAATTTCTGGTGGTAAAAAAAACTTGTTCACTTTGTTCCTTAACAGTGTGTGGATCCCTACCAACCCCCTCAAGATCCAGTTGGACACCCAGTGATGCACCAGTCAGCCATCAAGCATGCCACAGGACAAGCTGTATTTATTGATGACATGCCTCCCATTGACCAAGAACTCTTCCTGGCTGTAGTCACCAGTACCAGAGCTCATGCAAAGATTATGTAAGGAAATAAAAGATGTTTCTATATATTACTGAAATGCATTCACACTTTCACATTCAAACTGAGAGCTTGTTACATATCTAAGTCAAATTAAGAATATTCATTTTTCTCTTCTGAATGGGAATCAGTCATTTTTTAAGCATAGTTATGAAAGAATCTATAACCAAGAGTTAGAACACTTGCTAAGTACTGGTATTTTTCAACATAAAGTATTGCTTTATAATTTAGTTATGAGGTCTATTGTGGTTTTTCTCTGTGTTTGAGGAATCATTTATACCATGCATTGAACTTTAATATCTATCTTCAAATTTTCTCTCCTAGATCAATTGATATTTCAGAAGCCCTGGCACTTCCAGGTGTGGTTGATGTGATAACAGCAGAGGATGTTCCGGGAGATAATAATCATGAAGGAGAGATTCTCTATGCACAGAATGAGGTGTGTGAGTTGTGTGTGGCTTATCATCTTAATCCTTTGCTGGAAATGCCAAAATGATTATCGGTTATGCCCATAACATCCATGGATTAGTGTTCATTCACAAAGACTTACTGGGAATCAATGACTCTATCTCAGTGATTTGCAACTTCTCTTTTGAATCATGGACCCCTTTGACATTCTGATAAAAGCCATAAGTCATCTCAGGGAAGGCTTCTAAAAGGTCGCAGAAGTCATGGGAGCAAAATAAAGCATAGCACATTGAAAGACCCAGCAAAATGTCAGGATAACTGGATCACTGCATGTGCTGTGATTATGGTGAAGAATGTGGCTAAAGGCAATCAGAAGGCAGATATTTAAAACCAGATAATTAAATTCTGTGTCCAACTTTTTGTGCCCCCTAAATCCCACTCAAGCCACTGTTTTGAGTTTATTCTCATAGGTAGAAAACAATCTTTCTCTGGGTCCCAAAAACCCAGTGGGTAAATGTAAGAATGTGGGAACAGTAATTCCTTTGTACTGATTCTATGTATTAGCTAATCACAACATGTGGTTTTTCCACAGGTAATTTGCGTGGGTCAGATCGTCTGCACTGTGGCAGCTGACACCTATGTTCATGCGAAAGAAGCAGCCAAAAAAGTGAAGATTGCTTATGAAGACATAGAACCAAAGATTATCACAATAGAGGTAGTCGGACCACTTTGTGTCTTCTAGAATGATTAGAGCAGTGTACTTCAGGCAGAGTTCAACCAGAGAGTCGTAAACTAGCATAAGTTGGGCTCTATCTGTGCTCTGCTCAGTGTTGTCTATAGTTCTAGAGTGAAGGCTCCAGCAATCTGCACCTCAGGGTGAAGCACTGGGACCGTACCTGCTAGACCCCTCCTTCCCAGCAGTGCTTCTGCAGAAACCCATGGAAATGAAGCATCCTGTGCCCACGTCCCCCATGGCATCTTGCCAGGGCATGGTCTAAAGATACAGATAAGCAACACCAGAGAAATGTCCTTATGACCTCACACACGAAACTAGTCAGTGGGAAAATCTAGAGCACTGTGGAACTAATAAAAGTTGTAACATTTACTGTATCAGGTCATCTGTCTCCCTGCCCACTTACTGCTTAAGTGCAGACTCCAGACTGCTTGGATTCTCAATCTGACTCCACCATATAGTAACCTCTCAATAGCAACAAAAGTTTTGGCAAATTACTTAAACTCCTCATACCTTAGTGTCCTCATTTCTAGAATAAATGGGAACCATAAAAGTACCTACACCAAAAGGTCATTGTGAGGTTTAAATGAGAGAATCCAAGTAAAATGCTCAGAACAGCACCTAGGACAGGGAATGCATTCGATAAGCGTTAGCTGCTGTTTTGTTTTAGCTGTTGTTATGAGCCAGGGCAAGGACATGTTGTACTATGCTTTACATCCCCAATGCCTAGTGAAGCTCTAAACCTACAGCTGACTCTCCATAACAGGTGTCAGAAGACAGAAGGATGGAGGGATGTGTGGGTAGATGGATGATGCATATGCAGTATGAACCTCCCCAAGTAGGATGCCAACTTGAGCACCCTCTTTGAGTCTCCCTTGTTCTTCCCAGCAGTTGCCAAGTTCACGTCTTTCCCTGTTATCCTTTAAATGCCCCTTAAGTCTGCCCCTTTCTTTCCACTCATTCTCACTTCACCCTTCAGCCCAGTTCTCACTACCTTCTTGTCAAATTTACTACAATAACCACTCATAGAGGCTCTTGACTTCCATTTCAGCCCATCTATCTACCACATTTACTTTTCTAAGCCTCTAAGTTCCTCAGATCACTGTTCCTACTCAACAGTGCCCCTTAGATAAGGTTCAGACTCCTCAGTTCATAGTCCAGCCTCCACCCACCTTTCCAAACTCACCTTCTTCTGTTTCTTGATAGAAAACTTGCACCCCAGCCAATCTGGCCTTGTCCTCCTTTTGGCCCCTTAGCTTGGTTTCAACCATAAACTATCGTTTTATAATGTGTCATTGACTTAAATGATGCAGGATCCAACTGAGGTCACCAAAATGAGGCCATTCCTGCACACTCTGGGCTCCACTGGCCCGTTCCTTCTTGACTTCTCTTTACTCTGTTGTGTACCCCAGGGTTGGCACCTAAATACCAAACTGCCTCAGTTTGTCACTCAGTCATCTAGAGGTGGGACCATGTCTGTATGCCCTTGTATGCCCCTCAATGCTTCCCCAAAGCACTGAACAAAATTAGTGAGTTACCAACACCTGTAATCCATTGCACCCACTCTCTGCTAACTCTTCATGCTCTCTGGCTCTGGGTATCTTGGTGTGTAAAGATCTACTTAAGCAGGAGAATGGAATTTTGATAGGAGACAAATGGCTTATTAGAATGCCAAAAAAAACCATTTTGGTTGGTTTGTTTTTTCATTGCAGCAAGCCATAGAGCACAATTCTTTTCTGTCTGCTGAGAAAAAAATCGAGCAAGGAAATGTGGAGCAAGCCTTTAAATATGTTGACCAAATCATCGAAGGTAAGTAGTCTTGGGCCAGAAAAGGAAGCTTCCAAAATTGAAGACTCTACTTTCAATCATCTGGTTTGAGAAATACTGAAACTCTAAAGAGGCAGTGCTTCTCTATCCAAGTGTGCTTTTTAGATAATAATTTAAAATGCACAAGAAGTTTACAGCTTGGTGAATTTTTTATATATGTATAAACTTATGCAAATACAACCTGCATCAAAATATAGAACATTTCCAGCACCCCACAAAGCTTCCGTATGTCCTCTCCTAGTAAACTCCGCCCCCTCCCGCCCCCAAGGTATTATTTGAACTTTTTAACTGTAAATTAGTTTTGCCTCTTTTGAACATCACATAAGTGAAATCTTACAGTATAACCTCTTTTGTGTCTACATCTTTTATTTAACATTATGTGTGGAAGATCCATCCATGTTGTTGTATAGGTTAGTATTTCATTTTTATTGTTTGGCAGTATTTCATTATACAAATATTCCACAATTTTTTTAATCCTTTCTACCCCTGATGGATATTAGAGTTGTTTTCACTTTGGAATCATTGTGAATAAAGTTTCTATGAGCATTATTATGCTTGTCTTTTGGTGAACATAAGCACTTATTTCTAATAGAATATACCAAGGAACGGAATTGCTGAATAATAGCATATTTACATTTTATTTATTTTTTAGATTTTTTTTTTTTATTTCAGCATGTTACGGAGGTACAAATGTTTAGGTTACATATATTGCCTTTGCCCCACCCAAGGCAGAGCTTCAAGAGTGTCCATCCCCCAGACGGTGCGCACCACACCCATTAGTTATGAATATACCCGTCCCCTCCTCCACCCTCCAACCTGCCCGACACTATATGAATGTTACTATTATAGCATATTTACATTTTAGCTTTAGTAGTTAATTCCAAAATTTTTTTGAAATGTACCAATTATACTACTGTTAGCAATTAAGAGTCCCATTTTTCCATGGTTATTCTCAGCCTTTTTAGTTTTATCTGATCTGATAGGTATATAGTAGTATCTTATGGTTTTAATTAGACTTCTTAGATAACTAATGATGTTAAACTCTTTTTATATGTGTATTGGCCATTGGACTGTTATGAAATGTCTGTTCAAGTCTTTTGCCTATTTTATAATTTCTTAAATTAAAAGTACTAATTGTAATTAATTATAACATAATAACTGTTAAACAATTATTTACTAACTGATTTATAGGAGGTTTCTTATTGTTTTGGATTTGTTACAAGTATTGCAAATTCTTCTCCCAACCTGTGAGTTACCTTTTTACTCTCTTTATGGTGCCTTTTTATAAACAATTTTTTTGTTTTAATGAAAGTCAATTTATCAGTCTTTTCTTTATAGTTAGTGCTTTTGTGCACATTGAAGAAATTTTTGCCTATCCAAAGGTCATGAAGTTATACTTCTACATTTTCTGTTAGAACCTTAATTGTTTTAGCTTTTGTATTTAGCTCTGTGATTCATCTTAAATTAATTTTTTTGTATGGTATGAGATAGTGGCCAAGATTACATTTTTTTGTGTGGCTATTCAATTGACCCAGCACCATTTATTGAAGACTATCCTTTCCCTTACTGAATCGCAGTGCAATTTGTATTGTTTTTCAGGTGTTTATATATGTGTTCTATTTCTGAATTCTCTATTATATTCTATTAGTCTGTTTACCTACATTTATGCTAATACCACAGTTACCTGCTGTAACTTTATACTAAGACTTGAACTCTGATAATTTGCTGGGGCTTCTCTAATATTAGCTAAGCTATTATAGGTTCTTCGCATTTCCATATAAATTTATCACTAGTTCATCAATTCCACCAAAAATAACTTGGTGGGGGTTTTGTTGGGATTACATTGAAACAATATATCAATTTGAGAGAATTAAAATCTAAACAATATTAAGGATTCTAATGCATGAACATGGCAGACCTCGGCTTTTATTTAGGTTTTCTTTAATTTCTCAGTAATTTTTTTAGTGTTCACTATAGAGATTTTGCACACGTTTATTCCTAGTATTTGATACTTTGTGATGCTATGGTAAATGATACTGTTTTTACTTAATTTTCTACTTGTGTCTAGTATATAAAAACACAATTAATTTTTGTATATTGATTTTATATGTAGCAACGTTGCTAAATTCACTTACTAATTTAATAGTCTTAGAGATTCTCTTGAATTTTCTATGTACATAATCTTGTCATGACAGTTGTATTTATGTTTTTCAGTCCTTGATACTATTATTTGCTTTTTGGTTTGTTGTGACTTAGTGCACTGGCTAAGACCTAGTTAGTATAATTTTTAAAAATAGCAATACTTAGATCCCACCCCAGACCAATGAAATTAGAATCTTAGACTATAGGGTCAGGGCATTAATATTATTTACAAAGCTCCCCAGGAAATTCTAATGTGTGGCCAAAGTTCATAACTACATCTGTCTTTATTGAGAGAATCACTATTGATGTTTGATAAGAGAGAGTAGTAATTTTCACAGGATCTATTATCTACTCTTAAATAACTGGAATGGCAAGTGCTGCAAGCTTTTTTTAATTATTAAAAACTTAGGAGAAACCTTTAGAATACTTGTTTCTCAACATCATTCTGTTCAAGCAGAAATGTAGACTGCCTCCCAATTACAAGAACAAATCACTACCTCAGAAGAGTAGTTAGATATAGCCAGTAAACCCATGAGAGATGCTCAGAAGTTTAACAGTATCTACTGCTTATGCCAAACATTCATTTCTTGTAATGAATTTTATTTAAAAAATTTAATGAGATTTTACAAAAACTATAAATTTGGGCCAAAGATTATTTAATAGTAACATTATCAGCTAACATTGATCAAGTAATTACTGTGCCAGACGCCATGCTAAGCATTTTACATATATCATGTGATTTAATCCTAATATCAACCTTAAGAGATGAGTATTATTATTAAACCTATTTTAAACTGCTAAGTATTTACTGCTTACTATTTAACATGAAAGCAGAACAACTCTGAAAAGGAGCATATCAGTAGCTTCATTTTTAAAATGAGAAAACTAAGTCTTATAAAACTTATAAGGTTTATCACGCCTGTAATCCTAGCACTATGGGAGGCTGGGGCAGGAAGATCATTTGAGCTCAGGAGTTTGAGACCAGCCTGAGCAAGAGCGAGACCCTGACTCTACTAAAAATAGAAAGAAATGAACTGGCAACTAAAAATATATAGAAAAAATTAGCCGGGCATGGTGGCACATGCCTATAGTCCCAGCTACTTAGGAGGCTGAGGCAGAAGGATAGATTGAGCCCAGGAGTTTGAGGTTGTGAGCTAGGCTGATGCCACGGCACTCTAGCCTGGGCAACAGAGTGAGACTCTGTCTCAAAAAAAAAACCCCAAAACTTTATAAGGTTTATAAGACTGAGGTCTCATATCCGGTTAGCAGTAGAACCAGGAATGGAGCCCAAGACTGGCTGACCCTAAGTCCTTGCTCTAAGCAACATGGTATATTTTCTTTTAATTGTTATTATTACCCAAAAGACAGAAGGCTGAGGAGGTGCCATTCGAGATTTTGCCATTTGGGATCTTTGCCATTTTGGATTTTGGTAATTGTGGGAGTTCAGAATTTTGGCACAAGTTGGAAATTTGCAACATGAAGGGAATTTAGGCAGGAATGACTAAGAGTCACAGAGCATGCCAACATGGAGAAATGTGGTGTAGTGATTGAGAGCATGAAGTCTGGTGTCAAGCTGCCTAGGTTTGAATCCCAGCTCTGCTACTTACCACCTGTGAGACCTTGGGCACCTTACTTAACTTTTCCCTGCCTTGGATGCCCATCTGGCAAAACGGAGGTAATAATACATGCCTCATAGGATTGGTGTTAGGATTAAATGAATTAATTGTCTATAAAGCACTAAGCCTTAGAAAAATATCTAGCATATTATAAACACTGTGTAATTGTTAAGTAAATAAATTTGAGTTTAAAATATGCTAAAATAAAATATTATTTTGAGCTGAAGGCAATTAAGAAACAGCAGATATAGAAAAAAGCTCTCTAACCTCCCAATTTACCTAAAAGTGGGGCATAAATTTCCTTTTGTGAAGGTGTTCCCATTCCCCTCTCTTATACCAGGAAGGGCAGAACAAGAGGCAACTCTAGGCTCTTATCAGCCCAGAGAGGGCAGTGAGAGGAATCTGCATAACAAACCTCACTAATATAACCTTTTTCTTATATTAGTTTCCCCTAAATATTTGTCTTCTCACAATTTACCACTCCTAAAAGCTCAAAACCCCTTTCCTTTATCTTGCCCCTTCTCCACAAATTTATTGTCCTTTGTTAAAATGGTATATAAGCTTCCAGGCCTGACTACCTCCTTGAGGTTTGCAGTTCATTTCTATGAGCCTTCCCTCCACATAAGCCTATAAGAAATAAGCCTATTTCTCCTGTTTAAAAAATTTTAAATAAACCCTTTTCTCCTGTTAAAAAATTTAAAATAAAATTATGTTGATTTTAGATTGAAGTCATATACATTCTATAAGCAGATTTGGGGAGTTTTGGGGGGCCCTTTTGCATGACTGGCAATCTATTGTCCCAAGAAATAATTTTTAATAATCCTTTGACTCTGGCGAACAATTCACTTGTTTTAATAGCACAGGGGTCTTTTAGGTAGTTGTAAAGCGAAAACTCTGTCTTCAAATATTTAAACGAGGGCCAAATGCCTCTCTTGGTATGGCCTACAAAAGATAAGGTTACAGTGAACAAGCTGAAAATCTCATATAAACCAGTAAGAGTAGGCTGGTTTTAGGGAAGGGAACAGGCCCAGCTCTGCTATTTTAGACCTGTATGTCCTTTACCAAGTTACTTATTCTCCCTATGACTCAATAATCCTCAATATCACCAGATAGAGGTACATGTTTTCCCCCATTTTACAGCTGAGGAAACTGGGATTTAATAACTTCCCCAGATTCACTGAGCAAGGAAGTGGCTGCACCTGGGTATATAGTCTGATTAGTCTGTGCTCTCAAGTTCAGCATGTCGCAGGTCTAGCCACCCACTACGCAGATGAGGAAACTGAGGCTAAGAGAGGTGAAGTGAACTACCTAGGGTCACTCAGTTCATTGAGCACCAAGCAGATTAGAAAAAGTGGCCTAATCAAATGATATGAAGTCTGTCTCTCCCTAAATGGAAGCAGCTCACTCTTTATAAGCAAAACTCCACCAGAAGCTCCCACGTTGTGACTCGTGATTAGACACTGCCCTGTGTTTGTGCTTTACAGGTGAGGTCCACGTGGAAGGACAGGAGCATTTTTACATGGAAACACAAAGTATCCTGGCTATCCCAAAAACAGAAGACAAAGAGATGGTGTTACATCTTGGGACACAGTTTCCAACTCATGTGCAGGTAACGGGATAGCCTTGGAAAATGAGACTCCAGATGGTCATGTGAAGCGAGGCCGTTGCCCCCAGGCCCTCTACTGTCAGGGCCTTTTGGTCCCTCCCACTCCTGTGCCTCGAGCTCCCTGTACATTCTACACTAGCTAAAGTCCAGAATGAAGAAAATGGGGCAAATGTGTCCTTAAAAGGGCAGACCTTTCAAAGTGATCCGGAAGTTTTGCCGCCTTCCAAAAGATAGGGCAAGATTCATCTTTCCCTTACAACAATTGATATTGTAAAAATCTCAGGGAAGTCAAAGCCTTAGTAGTATACTTACATTTCCCTTTAGGGTTCATTTGTATTGCTGTTCTATATGACTGTTCTTGTGTATTGGTGGTACCTATATAAATCAATTGCATTTCCAAGGCGTTTTCAGCTCAGCTCAGTAAGTAGCATGTAAATTGCAATCCTATGCTAGTGGTTGAGGTATAAGGCATTGCCATACCCAGGGAAGTGAAGAAAATCCTCCGATATTCCCCTCTTCCAAAATATGGAGTTGTTGGTCCTAGAATAGTGCCAGGCACAGGAGGGTATTTTAAAAATCATACTGGGGGAAGGAGTCATGACAATCATCACGACAGGGGAGGCTGGAAGCTTCCTGGTGGAGCACAGGTGAGCTGACACCTTGAGGTCCCGAAGGGGTGGGGAGGCTCCATGGGAGGAGGACACCACCAGCTGCCATTTCAGGCAAAATGAAAGGCTGAGGGCATTGATGCTGAGCTAGGGTGTGACTATGGCCTACACAGTTGACATGGACAGAGGAGGAGATAAGAGCTTTTTGCCCTTAAGCAGCTATGTGATCTCCTACAAGTCACTGGGTATCAATATACTTTTCTGTAAATTGAGGGAGGTGATAAAGATCACCTCTGAGGTCCCTTTTGGCAGGCGGTCTGTGACTCTGGGCTCCAGTGGAGAATACATATATCCCAAAGTCACCAATGCCACCCACCACCAGCAGCTCCTGGTTACAGTCAGCTCCAACACAGCAGGCATTTCCCTGGGGTCAGTAGGGCACTGCATAGCCACAGCCTGCCACAGCCCAGAACCTGGGGCAGTGTCAAAAGCAGGCCCAGTTAAAGATTGGAGTACACGTTCCTCCAAAGAAGATATATGAACCACTAATATATGTGCACATGAATAGCTGTTCAACATGATTAGTCACTAGGGAAATGCAAATCAAAACCACAATGAGGTACCACTTCCCACTGGAATGGCTGTAATCAAAAAGACAAGCAATAACAAGTATTGGCAAGGACACAGATAAATTGAACCTTCATACATTGCTGGTGGGAATGAAAAATGGCACAGGCACTTTGGAAAACGGTTTGGCTGTTTATCAGGATGTTAAACATAGACTGAACATAAAACCCAGCAATTCCACAACTAAGTATCTACCCACAAGAAATGAAAACATACGTCCACAAAAAAACTTACGCACAAATGTTCATAGCAGCATGACTCATAATAGCCAAAAGTAGAAACAACTCAATGTCCATCAACTGATGAATGGACAAACAAAATGTGATATATCCATGCAATGGAATATTATTTAGCCATAAAAATGAATGGAATACTGATAATATGCTACAACATGGATGAACCTTGAAAATGTTATGCTAAGTGAAAGAAGCCAGTCACAAAAGACCACATATTTTATGATTCACTTATATGAAATGTCCAGAGCAGGCCAATCTATAAAGACAGAAAGTAGATTAATAGTTGCCCAGGGCTGGGGTTGGAGGGGGATAAGGATGGATTGCTTAAAGTATACAAGTTTTCCTTGGGGATGCTGAAAATGGTCTAAAATTAGATTATGATGATGGTCGCACAATTCTGTAAATGTAAAGTCTTTGTTGAATGACTAAATTTCTTTCATGGGCAGAGATTAAAGTGAACTATTAAATTGCACTGATGTGGCTTTCGGGGCTTACCTCTTGCAGGAATACGTGGCTGCAGCACTAAATGTCCCAAGGAGCAGAATCGCCTGCCACATGAAAAGAGCTGGAGGAGCGTTTGGGGGGAAAGTGACCAAGCCTGCTCTGCTAGGAGCTGTAGGTGCTGTGGCCGCCAACAAGTAAGCGTCAGCTGTCTCCATAGCATCAATGCCACCCGAGTTCTGTCAGCCCCGCACCCCAGCTCTCAGCTCTGCTGAGGTTGTCAGAGTAAAAGGAAGGTCAAAACCCCAACCTTAAAAAAAAGACACATTTTATCATGAAATACACTGGGGGCTCTGCTGCTGCCTGGGAATATTCACTTAGCCTCTGCATCGTGCAGTTGGAATATCCAAACACCAAAACAGCCGTGTCTTTTCTCAACCTTGTAACTACCGAAGTTCATCAAGATATACTCAGGACAAACTTAACTTCTCCCAGGCTACTGCTACAAAAAGAAAACTGTGAACATCTTAGCTCGTTGCCACTTTCCAACAATAGAAAGTGTTGTCCTGAAAGTAGCAGGTTTGCTGGCACTGGGACATTTTATGGCAGGGAGTCTGAATGCAAGGAAGGTTGAGCATGACAGAGCATTGGTGTCAACCCTCTCAGTCTCAATCAACATCCCCCTTATGGCAAATATTTTAATGCTTCTTTACTATCTCAAAGTGAAATCCATAATTGCACACACAATTACAAAATAACCATACAATTCCTTAATATACTATAAAAGAGAAATAAGAATAACTTATAACCAAATAATATCATTGCAATATATAAATTTTCAGATATAACTAAGCCAGAATAATAATAATTTTTTTATTTAATAGGTTAAAATCTATTAGTATCATTATTTTTTTCATTGTTTTAATTTCAATATATTTTGGGGATACAAATGTTTTTGGTTACATGGATCACTTTTGTAATGCTTGAGTCAGGGTTATAAATGTGCCCATCACCCAGATAGTGTTCATTGTACCTATTAGGTAGGTTTTCACCCATCTCCTCCTCCCCCCTACCCCCTGCTTGATTTCCACTGAGTTTTACTTCACTCTGTGCACATACATGCTCATCAGTTAGTTCCAATTTAATAGTGAGTACATGTGGTGTTTGTTTAGATACTTCACTTAGGATAAGGGTCCCCAGTTCTATTCAAACTGTTGCAAAAGGTATTAATACATCATTTTTATGGCTGAATTGTATTCTGTGGCATACATATATCACATTTTGTTAATCCACTCATGAATTGATGGGCATTTGGGTTGATTCCACATCTTTGCAATTGTGACTTGTGTTGCAATAAACATTCACTTGCAGGTTTTTTTTTTTTATAAAATAACTTCTTTTCTTTGGGGTAAATACCCAGTAGTGGGATTGCTGGATCAAATGGTTGATCTACTTTTAGTTCTTTGAGGAATCTCTACAACATTTTCATAGAGGTTGTACTAATTTGCAGTCCCACCAACAGTGTATAAACGTTCCTTTCTCTCTGCATTCATGCCAGCATCTACTAGTTTTGGACGTTTTTTAAATAAAAGCCATTCTAACTGGGGTAAGGTGATATTTCATTGTGGTTTTAATTTGTATTTTTCTGATGATTAGCATTTTTTTGTATGTTTATTGGCCATTAGTCTTTCTTCTTTTGAAAAGCTTCATGTCTTTTGCCCACTTTTTAATGGGGTTGTTTGGTTTTTTTCTTGCTGATTTGCTTGAGTTCTTTGTAGATTCTTGTTATTAGCCCTTTACCAGATATATAGCTTGTATGTATTTTCTACTGTTCTGTAGGTTTTCTCTTTGCTCTGCTGATTATTTCCTTAGCTGTGTGGGAGATTAATTTAATCAAGTCCCACTTATTTATATTTCTATGATCTTCTATCTAGAAAACCCCAAAGACTCAGCCAGGCATGGTGGCTCACCTCTATAATTCTAGCACTCTGGGAGGCAGAGGCAGAAAGATAGCTTGAGCTCAGGAGCTCAAGACCAGCTTGTGCAAGACTTCAAACTATACTACAAAGCTATAATAACCAAAACAGCATGGTACTGGCATAAAAATAGAGACATAGACCAATGGAAAATGTAGAGAACCCAGATATAGAACCATCCACATACAGCCAACTGATCTTTGACAAAGCAGACAATAATATATGCTAGAGAAAAGAAGTTCTATTTAATAAATGCTGCTGAGAAAATCGGATAGGCACATGCAAAAAAATGAAACAGGATCCATCTCTTTTACCACTAACAAAAATTAATTCAAGATGGATAAAAGACTTTAAAATGTAATGCATGAAACCATAAGAATTCTAGAAGAAAATGTAGGAAAAACTCTTCTGGATATTGGCCTGGGCAAAGAATTTATGAGTAAGCCCCAAATGGCAATTACAGCAATAATATTTTTTTTAATTTTAATGCCCCACAAACTTCCAAAATGTTGTCTAAGGAATGTTATGACACCCATTAAAAACCAATACACTAGATTATCTCCAGTCCCCTTCCCCCATTTCTGTGTTCCTACAATTTTGTGAAGCATCCAGGATATTAATAGTATCACTTCCCATAGGACTGGCCGCCCTATCCGGTTTATCCTGGAGCGCGGAGATGACATGCTGATAACTGCTGGCCGTCACCCACTCCTCGGGAAATACAAAGTGAGTAAGATAAATGGTTCAGCAAACTGCCTAAGACATTGTCCAGCGTTAACCAACCAATACTAAAAACAACTACTAATTCCATACCCCTTGAAAGGGATGTTTGAATGCTGCCCTAAAATAAGTCAGAACTTTCTGTTAGGATCATGTTCAACTTGGGCACCATCCTTATATTCCTCTGGTCACTGGTGTATCCAGTCATGTGCATAAGCTAAATATGGATTGACAACCATGATCAGAGGTATTTGTGTACAGCATGATGCAGTTGCAAAGAAGGACTGTCACGATGATTGCCTTACTTGTTTCACTTTGCAGATTGGATTCATGAACAACGGCATGATCAAAGCTGCTGATGTTGAATATTACATCAATGGTGGGTGCACTCCTGATGAATCTGAGATGGTAAGTAAGAAACATACTTTTCCCAAAGGTTACCAGTTGAACTATATGCACCACACTTCATTTGCATGAGTGTTTGTCTTACAAATCAGATAAATTCTGTGAAGGGGTCAAGTCAGAGACAAAATTCAGATAAGTGGTTTTGAATGTTTGACAGATGTGAAGTTTTGTTTTGTTTTGCTTTAATTCAGGTGTTGGAGTTCATCGTGTTGAAATCTGAGAATGCATATTATATTCCTAATTTCCGGTGCCGTGGTAGGGCGTGCAAAACGAATTTGCCTTCCAACACCGCCTTCCGAGGATTTGGCTTCCCTCAGGCTACGGTGGTTGTTGAAGCTTACATAACTGCTGTGGCTTCTCAGTGTAACTTACTCCCTGAAGAGGTAATCAGTCGGAGTCCCCTAATAAAACACTGAGAATACACTGAGAATTCCATTATATCTTGAGCACCTACCTAGCACATTATGTCAGCTTCTATGCGGATTCAAAGAAGTAAAGTGCATCATCTATGTTTCAGCTGATTTTTGCTATGGGGTGAATTGATCACAAAACTTAGTGTCTTAAAACAATAGATAGTATTTGTTACGATTCTGTGAATCAGCTGGGCAGCTCTTCTGGTCTGGGCCAGTTCAATTGGATGCCTCAGTTCTAGAGTGTCTCATCCTCCAGGCTGGCCCAGACTCCTTCTCATGGTGGTGGTCACATGGTCCCCAAAAGCAGCAAGAATGCAACAAGCCCTAATATACGAGCACTTTTCAAGTCTCTGCCTGCCTCATATATATGCATAGTCCCATTGGCCAAAACAAGACACACGGCCAATCCCAGTATCTATTTATTCCCCACCCGAGGGAATAAATAGAACAGAAAGATTACACACATTTGTACAAATATTTTACCACAATTCAAGACTTTCAGGAACTAATTTGAGAACAGTTAAGAGTAAGACAACGTGTGTGGAAGTAAAAGGATTTTGAATCAGGAGAATTTCGTCTCACCACCAACAAACTTGTAACAGAGCTACTAATAGTTGGGACCTCTCAGAGTTATTGTGAAGTTTACTGAGATAATACACTCTAGAGCCTCATGCATACAAAGCATTCAATAGTAGTTTCTATTGTTATTATATTTATGCATGCACACTTGCCCTTGCATATCTATAGCCATTTAGCTAGTTACTTCTTTTTATTTTGAAAGACTTTCAGGCATATAACAAAAATGCATGCTTCACATACGGAACAAGCATCTATCCTTGAAATTCATTTTATTTTCTCATTTTTCAGGTTAAAGAAATAAACATGTATAAGAGAATTAGCAAAACAGCCTATAAGGAGACATTTAATCCAGAGCCCTTGCGAAGATGCTGGAAAGAATGTCTGGAGAAATCTTCCTTCTATGCTAGGAAACTGGCAGCAGAGGAATTTAACAAGAAGAATTACTGGAAGAAGAGAGGGCTTGCCGTAGTCCCCATGAAATTTACCATTGGGATCCCCATAGCCTACTACAATCAGGTGAGATTGGAGGAGGTATCTTTCCATCCAAAGCTGTTTTCCAAATGACTGGCTGCCCGGAAAAGGCAATCCTGTACAACCAGGGATGTTTCCCTCTGGGGAAGAGTGAAGAAACCGGGCAGTTTCCTGTAGCAGGAAATAGAGAGAATGTGTTTAGGCAAGGGTTGGGGACCACGATGTCCTGGCAGACCTGGCAGGTCACCACATCAGGGACCTCAGAAAGCAATAAAGAATAAAATTCAGCTCAAGGGGTTCTGCCCTGAAGTAGCAGGGCCCCAAACATAGGTTTTGAGGGATGGGGTCAAATTTCAAATCCATGAGAAAACTAGGGGGTAACAAGAGGATCCCTTTCTCTCTCCCCTCCTGTCTTAATCAAAGCAGTAGGGTCAGTTGAAGACAGAGCTTGCAAAAACACATGAGAACAGACAGAGCTATGTGATTCACAAAGAAACTTGGTGTTACCATATTGGGGCTCAGTGACTCCTGGGTCTCCTTTTTAGTTTCATTATAACCAGCTTTTTGTAGGGTTCCGTGTCTGATTCTGTCATTTATTTTTTGTTTCCATCCCCATTAACTTCTGAAATGTCTCTATAACCAAAGCCAAGGCAAAGGAAGGCCTATAGGCCCCCTTCATGGTGTGACTAAGGTCTGCCCAAGCTGTCTCTTACCAAAACTACCTCCTGTGCACACCCTTCCTCAGAGTACACTAACAAGGTAGGAAGGACAAAGAGAAGGAGGGAGGGGACGGCCAGAAGCACTGCCCTGCCTGGAGCAGGTGTGCATCTTTCCCCCAGGTAGTGTTTCTCCAGCCAGAATAACACACAGATGCCCTTGAAGGAGAAAATTCTTGTGGACTCTAAATGGTTGCTTAAGTTATTTATTTTGATGTTATTTAACCACTTCGGTGCGGCGCTCACCGGCCGCGAAACCTTGCCCACAGCCGGCCGCACAGTGCGCGCGGTAGCTTGTGCTGTGCACTGACGGCCAATCCGTTTTGCTCTTGTGTGATGAGGAAAGCTTTTAAAGCACTGAAAGCTTGTTTTACTTTACAGGCAGCTTTACTTGTAATGTAAATCAGCATAGGTAACATATACATACATGTTTTCATTACATTGTTTTTAAATGTTCACAATTTTATTTTGATAAATGAAAAATTAGAAAAGTCATATCACGGCTGTCGGCTAAACTCGACTCTTGGCTGTGGGCGTTCGTCTGCGGCTGTCGACTATAGTCGACGCTCATACGGAAGTGGTTAACTATATAACCATAAAACAAAGAATACGCTTCTTTTAGCTCTTATGCCTTTATAAAACAAAACAAATTTGCAAATTAAGTAAAAATAAATACTATAAATGCCAGTAGTATTCAAAAGAGTGCCGTTAATTTAATGTGGTGAATGATGTTGCTTTTCTAAAACTAAATCCTTACTCAGAAAACAATGGTGGTCCTGGCGGCTGCTGCATCCTAAATGTCTGTGATGGTGTGATGACTCACTGCCCCACCTCCTATCTCGAATATGCTCCATCGATTAATGTCATCCTACCTGCTGCTTACACAGTCATCAACACAAAATCTAACATGGTACCTGAAAGCACGTGGCAATACTCGTTCATGCGTGGTCATGCATTACTCTTGCTAGATTGTCAAAGAGGCAAAAACGCAAAGTTTAACAGTTCTTGTAGAGGACTTAGTGATTCTGTGAATACAGTGTCGTACCCAGAAGACTGAGGGAGATGAGTTAGTTGGTATTTGCCTGCTTAGTGGCAGGGGCACAGGGCTTAATCCAGAGGTAGGAACCCAAGGGGTAGGTGCAGAATCCTGGGCCACATGTCTGAGCTCTCAAGGTGGGGTGGGGATTGCTCTCAAGAAAAATCCCAGCGACTAGCAGAACCACCCTGCATAGCCCAGCCTCCTCCCTCCTGTGGGTCTGGTCCCTGGAGCCACATGTGCGCTCTGTGGATTCCTCAGTTAAAACAACCAGCTGCGGAGATGGACAGCAGCAGTTAGTTTGAGGAGGCAGCATGGCGTGGTAGCCAAGAACACCGGATTCAAGTTAGGACTGTGGGTTCCAACCTTGACTTTCCCACAAACTAGGCATCTGGCTGTGGCCAAGTCTCCCCTCTCTAGGCTTCTATTCTCCCACAGGCAAAGTGAAGAATGTGGACTAAATCAATGAATCCCAAACCTGGTTAATCATCGAAATCACCTGGGAGCTTTAAAAAAGGGCATTTGGGCTGTGCGTGGTGGCTCACACCTGTAATCGTAGCACTCTGGGAGGCTGAGGAGGGAGGATTGCTCAAGGTCAGGAGTTCGAAACCAGCCTGAGCAAGAGCCAGACCCCGTCTCTACTAAAAATAGAAAGAAAGTAATTGGCCAACTAAAAATATATGGAAAAAATTAGCTGGGCATGGTGGCACATGCCTGTAGTCCCAGCTACTCAGGAGGCTGAGGCAGGAGGATCACCTGAGCCCAGGAGTTTGAAGTTGCTGTGAGCTAGGCTGATGCCACGGCACTCTACCCTAGGCAAAGAGTAAAAAAAAAAAAAAAAAAAAAAAAGGGTATTTGGGCTCCACCTCCAACCTGCCTCTGAATTTCCAGAGTGGGGTGCAGACCCCTACCCCATCATTATACTGAAAGATCAGTGTCTGGAAACTATGAAAACATCTCAAGGTTCTTCCAGTTCCTCTAAGTATCCAGGAGAGGTCGTGCTTGTAAATTTACTCATGTAGGTTCCATTTGCTTTAATTTCCACGTCCAGGGAAGGAAGAATAATAAAATGTTGTGCAGGCTGGGACTTTGGAGGGGCAGCTCCCAAGGCAACCACACAAGGCCAGGAGGCAGGAGACCACTGGGAGGGAAGAGGAGTACATTCATCTGTCTACAGTGATGGTTTTGAAGTCTCAGGTTTCTTGCAAGAGGTTGTCTGTAGCCACCAAAAATAGCTCTCTTGTCTAGAACAGAAAATGAGAGATTGGCTCAATGGAACAAAACCATTCATCCAGCAACCTTGGCTACACTCACAGCAACATTTGGCTGCATCAGTTTCCAAACTGGGATTACAACTGTTTCCCCACAGGCAGCTGCTCTAGTCCACATCTATCTGGATGGCTCCGTCTTGGTGACTCATGGTGGCTGTGAACTGGGACAAGGCCTGCACACCAAAATGATTCAGGTGAGATAAGTGTCCGTCTTCTCCAATGTATTACTAGGAGAGTACAGCACGTTACAACCAACTTAACAGCTATTTTCTTGTTAAGTAAAATAAATACCATGACACTACATGCGTAAGTCAATTGTAGGACTCATCCTGACTTCGGAAATGCAAAAATGCAGGGGGATGAGGGCAATGGTGCTAGGATTAAGGAAATACATTGTATTATTCTTCCTGCACACAAAAGAACAAAGTCCATAGATCTCCTGAAAAATGTTATTTGAATTTTCAAAGATAAAATACTTTTAAGCTTTATGATGTTGACTTAAAATCATGATATCCATAAATTTGGAGAGGAGAGCTTTATTTCATATAAAAAGCTGCAGCCTGCAGGCTGGCCATCCTGTAGGCTGGGAAGGTGGCCTCCAGCAGAAACCAGAAGCAGGCACTGTGAAGGAGGAAGGGTGAGACAGGAATTTATGCTAAACGGGTTGTGTAACTATACACATTCAACAGGTTATAGCAGGAGCTAGGGATATTCACAAAGGGAGGAACGCATGTATTTATAGTAAGTAAACATGCATCAATCAATTTTGGGCAGAGACTTAACATTTAAATGCATTAAAATTAGACTCTATACATCTGAAGGTGAAAGAGAGGACACAGAAGCAACCAGTCAGAACCAGTCCATGATTCATGGTCTCTTAGCAAGGAATGCTAGTCAGTTGTGTCAAAACTTCAAAAAGAGAGGGGAGTCCAGCTGCAGCGTCAGGCAATTGGTTGAAATCAGTGGTGGAGCAAGTTTCTAGAAAGGGCTGGTTTGTGTTTAACCTTAAGAAGGAAAGTCTAATGTCAGTTAATGAGAGACAGGGTATGATGGGCACGTCTGACCTCCCATCCCATCATGGCCAGGAATTCAGTTTTAAAGGTTTCTCTGGAGTCCCCTTGGCCAAGAGAGGATCCATTTAGTCAGCTGGAGAGCTGAGGATTTTATTTTTATTTCTCAATGGCAATTGTTCAAAGCAATCCTGTGTTCATTCAAATTCTCAATTAGAAATGAATATATTTAATACGATGAAACATTATGCTCTTATAATTTGCATTCTACCTAGAAATGTCACATGACTGGCCATTATGTATGCTAATTCAAAGAAGTGTTTCTAATATTATCAAAAAAGCAAGAGATTCCTGCAATAGGAAATGTTCCCTTCTTTTTAATGTGAAAAAAGTATTTGTTGAATATGACATTTGAATCAAAAATATGCATGGGAAACAAAGCTTCTCTCCCAATGAGATATACAGAGAAGATACTCACCCTAAGAAAAGAATATTATAAAGTTGTATTTACTAAATAGTATACTTGGAATTAGAAAAGCACAAAAATCCACAGGGCCTTCTTTGAACATATCTTGCTTCCTCCCAACAAAATCCTTATGCCTGCAAAATGTCCAACAAAGTAAACATAATCTGTTAAATTGTCTGTAAATCATGAGGAAGAGATGAAGGTGAAACAGTAAGATCATGGTCTTGTGCCTGCCTGCACCTGTCCTACTAAATTAGACGTCCCACGGTGAACATCCTGCCACATGGCTTCCATGACACTGGTATAAATAGGTTCTGTGGTTGGCCACATGTCTCTCAAAAGGTGTGTGTCTTTTACAGTGCCATTTAAAATCTTCGAGTGCATCAATCTACCTACAAACCCAGGATGCCTGCTTAAATTTTTGTCTCTGCAGGAGAACAGCCAGATTCTATATTCAGCTCTAAAAAAAACATAAAGGTTTTTGATTTGGCAGAGGGGCTTCAAGTCCATGACAAATATTTTTCTTCTGCTTCCGGCAGGTGGCTAGTCGAGAACTCAACATCCCCCAGTCCTACATACACCTGTCTGAAACAAGCACGATCACGGTGCCCAATGCTGTCTTCACCGCAGGGTCAATGGGGACAGACGTCAACGGAAAGGCCGTGCAGGTGACTTTGCTTTCAATTCTGTCACTCAGTGACAGTGCTGGAATGGACCTTGTCTCACTCCTTCTTTTACGGAAGATGAAACTGAGGCCAAGAAAGGTCAAGTTCTAGGTCATTCAGCTAGTTACTGCCAGAGACGAGGGCCCCAGGTCAAGTTTTCTGAGGCTCCCATTTGGTGCTCCTTCTGTTATACTGAGCTGCTTCTCATAATTAAAGTTCTGTTGCATGTGCAAACCTGCACTTTCAGCAGCATCCATTTTCCTTAGGTAAGAAAATATCTCCCTTCTCTCATCCCAGCACACCAGAGCAAGGCAGGAGAATCCCATCCTGGCTCCACACAGGGCTTGGGCCAGGCAATCAACCTCTCTAGGAATCCCTTTCCTGTTCTGCAAAACTAGGGGTATAGACACCAGCCAGCTCATAGAATCAGGTGGATTACACAGATCATGCAATGAAGCCACAACCACTGCCTCCTGCCCCACCCCCAACCTCTAAAAAACTATTGATTGGTCATCATCACCCACAGAAACCATCTCCACAAAATGGCAAGCACCTGGACGGAAAGAGAAACTTCCAGCCTGTCCAATGTGCCCACATATCATATGAACCATAGCTCCCCAAAATATGCTGCTTGGCATAGTGGTCCCATGAAATGCTCAATGGAAAAAAATAAGGATTCTATAGTTAACAAATTTGTGAAATGTTGCATACTTACTAAATTCCACTCACAGAGGCTTATAAGACATATTAGCATATTAAAGTCTCTGGAAAAGTCCTGCAGTACAGAAACCTATTTAACTTTGTTTCAGTCTGTTTTTTCCAAGTTTATTTAACCATGAAAACATTTTAATTAATATAATACCTCTTAACATCCTGTGGAACCAGTGCCCAAGAAAAACACTCTGGGAAATTCTAATTTCGATAAAATGTGCAGATGATTGAGTCCATTTTTCACTTTTCATCCAGATGTTAATTGCCTCACAAGCACAGTTTGCAAGGAGACACCCAACATGCAATTGGGCACAGTTTCAGGAACTGATAAGGCGAGACCACTAAAAACAAAAGAAGAAGAAGAAACAAGAATATTTTGGGAAATATTTTCATATTTTTATGCTGATTTTTGATGAGTTACCATATGAAAATTCATTAAGTGTGGGTGACTTCACATTTATTTTATTGATTCAATAGTGATTTAACAAATATGCACTGAGGCCCACTCTAGTGAGCCTAGATCCTGTTCTAAGCACTAGGGGTATAGCAATAAATGAAACTGAACAAAATCTCACTGAACTCACATTCAGCAGACAATAAATAGATGTATGAAGCTGTTACTCCTACGGATGCAGCTTTTCTCCAGCCACGGTTCAGGTTCCCTCTGTAGGCTTCTTCTTCCCTCCCCCTGAATGTCATCTACCCGTAGTTTTCTAATTACTCCAAGACCACTTAAAGCCCACTAGTCACTTTGTTTCATGGAAACAATCTCATTTCAGTAATTAAAATGTTCAATCCAAAATTCTAAAATGCACTTCAAATTGCATTGTCTCTGCTGCTTCCCAGCTGGGCCCGCAGGTAGAAAGGGTCAGGTGCAGCTTCTCCCAGTTTCCCTCTCTGTGCTTTCCCCCCTCCCCTCCACCTTCCTAGCCTACATTCTATACCATAGAGAGTCTGAAGATAGAAGGGCAGGAAGGTAAGAAGCAGAAAACGTCTTACTTGGCCACATCAGTGTGATATGGCCATGCTGCATCTGACTGCTTCGTCCATGAATGTCACTGTGAGCACCTGGGAGAGTCCCTTCTGGGCATCTTTGATGCGGGCAGTGCCTCTCCCATGGCTTTAACCACTTGTGACCCACCCTGCCCCAGACCCACCCTGACGGTGGGGAGGGCTGTATGGAGGTCAAGGTGACCACGGCAGAGAGCGCAGAGGTGAGCAAGGTAAAAGAAGAGGTGAGAAAGATAGCTGGGTGATGACCATGTTGAAGCTGCATAAAGAACAGGAAGGAAGCTATTGTACTATTATCTCCACTTCAGTATATTGTGAAATTTTCTACAATGCAAAGGAAGCTGAAAAAATTCCTTCTGGCATTTGGAACTTTAGTAGAGGGAGGTGATCCTACAGAAAAATATAAGGTGAGACACTTCACTCTAGAAAGGCATTATGAAGATGACAAAAGAAAGACAAATGTTCACTGCAATTTCTCACTCTCCTACAGGGGAAATTATCTCAGGAGACCATGAAACTGTTGAGTCTGAAGTTACCCACAGAAGCATAGTGTTCAGGGCATGATAATGGGAAGAGTGTCTGATATTTGGACAGCAGTGGGAACTCCAGGACTTAGGTTTGCCTCGAAGGAGGCACTCTTTTGGAAGGCATCCACTTGTATTGAGGTCAGTGATTAAAAACTAAATGGACCAGCAAAGACATATCTATGAAAACAGAGGTTTCCCTGACACATGAAAAGCCATAAACCATTTCCCAAAAAGAGGATAATAGAAAAGAAAGAACAGAAACCAAGGGGAGCCATGTAGGGTGTTCTGCGGCTGAGAATAAGTAAGGGCAGAGATGTAGATGGTTTGGGATTTGAATTAAGAGCAGAAGCCAAGCTGGGGTCTGCTGATACCCAGGGGTCAGCAGGTGTAATCTCAGGAGTCCAAGATTTCACCTCCATAATTTATTTTCACTTTAATGATAATCTTTAAAAAAATTAAAATAAGGATAGGTATATTTTGGATCCTCAGAATGACTAGAGTATTGCCGTGAGATCTCTTTGCCCACATATGGGACCAAGAGCATACTTTGTGGCAAAACAACAAGATAAGAGCAGAGAGGGACTTCATACACAAATGATGTTTTCTTGCCTAGCGACAAGCAAATGATGGCAAGGTACAAAATGCAAATATAAATCTAGTGGCAATTGAAATAAGAAGAGTGGGGAGAACATGGGTCCATCAGCTAGCACACAACAGGCATGCCAAGCTCAAAGGTGTCTGTGCCGCAGTGGTCGATACTTTCTCCACATTCCAAGCAGCAATTTTGCTTCAGAAAACAACATCATCCATCAAGTAAATTCATGTTGTTATTTTGAGTTTTACTAGCATATAGATGGAAGTGCATGCTATGTCATTTTGTTTTCGTTGTATATTTATAAAGGAGCTATAACTCTGAAGAGACTCTACCTCGCTTTATGTTAGCATATACTCAAACATTATAATAAAAACAATTTTAAATCAACACTGCAGGAAGCGCAGAATGTTTTTCCCTTTGAAGAGGTTCCATGCATTACTCGAGTTTAGCAAACCCTGCCTAGAGGACTAGGAAGCAGGTTCACAAAACTGGTGGTTTACATTTGAATTGATTTAAGTAGTTAACATTTCGCTATTTCCTGTGCCTTTTACTTCTGACTTTATTTCAAATATTTATTTTTAGAATGCCTGCCAGATTCTTATGGCCCGTCTTCATCCTATCATCAGGAGAAACCCTAAAGGAAAATGGGAGGACTGGGTGAGTGTCCTCGTTATTATCCCTGTCAGGCAAAGGCTCCTCCATCCAGATGGGAAGTAGTCCTGCGTGCATGGGCTGATGGCTGGTGCTCATTCAAGAAACAAAGCATTTATTAGCATTTGCTTTGACTTCTCCGAAAGAATAAAAGGGATGTCTGTGTTCATTGAAACCTGACTTTATTTCAGAGCCTAATTCCTCACCATGCACAATAGCAGGATGGGCTCTAAGGTAAGACACACCTAGGGCTGCTGTCTCTGCGATGTCACCACTGGCCTGTCACTTACCCCGTCTTAGTCCACTGGGCTGCTGTAACAAAGTACCATAAAGTGGGTGGCTTATAAACAACAGAAATTTATTTCTCACGGTTCTGGAGGCTGGAACTCTAAGATCAAGGCACCAGCAGATTCAGTGTCTGGTGAGGACCCCTTTCTTGGTTCCTGGCTTTGTCCTCACATGGCAGAAGGGGCAAAGCAGCTTTGGGGGCCTCTCTTATAAGGGCACTAATCCCATTTAGGAGGGATCTGCCCTCATGACCTAATCGCCTTCCAAAGGCCCCACCTCCTCATGCCATCACATGGGGGTTAGGATTTCAACATCTGAATTTTGAGGGAGACAAACATTCAAACACAGCGCCCCTTTAGTGCCTCAGGGCTTTGGTTTTCTCACCTGCACAATGCTGATAGTAGTACTCCTAAGATCAAAGGATCACTCTCTTTTTAATAATGATTACTATTATTACTATTGTCATTACTCTTCCCCACCCTACCCAGTTTACTCCAGCAAGAAAGCTGACATAATCATATATGGAGACAGCCAAATTATTTGGGAGCAAAACAGGATAAAAAATATATATATATTATATATATATATATATCCCTCTCCCTAATCTAAAAACCTAAAAAGGGTGAAAAGTAATAAACTTTACACTGTGAAACCCCAAAAAACAAAGGGTCCCAGAGCACAGCTAGCAGCTGGCTTTGAGCACCTCCGTTGACAAGCATGACCTCATGTCCAGGCACAGGTCTCACTTAGGAAAATGTGGGTCCAGAGCTTGGAGCAAACAAGAGGAGCAAATGAGGCCAGCATGGAAGGCATTTTTCATTACTTGCCCTAAATTTATATTTCTTTGTAATTAATCATCGCTTTCAGGTTGCAAAAGCCTTTGAAGACTCCATCAGTCTCTCAACTACTGGATATTACAAGTAAAGGACATTTTTACTTTGGCTTAAATTACACTTGGGCAGGGCGGTGTGCGCTCATCAGTCATCCGCCTGGACAGGTGTCGGGAGTGCTGGAGCTCTGCTGGGCCTGGGGTTAACCCCTTAGTCACGGGGCGTGGGGGTGGGGAAGGAGATGGGGGAGGGCCAGGCACTGGGTGACAATCCAGAGCCTCCATTGAGCAGCAGCTACTGGCCAGCCAGGAGGGACACCACAGCTACCCACACCCAGCCGGACCCTTCCCAGCAACCGTGCGCTGGAGGGCAGGGCTCCCACACCAGCTGATCTTCTCCCGGTATCTGCGGGGGAAACTTGCAGCCGGGTCCCTCTGCCGGAGAAGAGGGAGGAAGGCCCCAGCCACTTCCGCCCACCCAGCACAGAGGGGCGATCAGACCCCTAGCGGGGAGGGTGCCTTTCCTTTTCACTCTTCATTTCTCTTCTCAGAGGCTACCAGACAAACATGGACTGGGAGAAGGAGGAAGGCAATGCGTATCCGTATTTTGTGTATGGTGCGTCCTGTTCTGAGGTTGAAGTCGACTGCCTCACCGGGGCTCATAAGGTAGGGAGTGACATTTGTATTCACAGTGTAAACACAAACACTGCAAATAACAATCAACTCCATCCTCCCAGGGCGACAAACAGGGACAGATATCTAATTTTAGTAAAAGTCTATTTTAAATAAATAACATCTTGCATTCTGCATCTTCTCTTGGCGCAGCTCCTGAGGACCGACATCTTCATGGATGCTGCCTTTAGCATAAACCCAGCCGTGGACATTGGGCAGGTGAGTGATCCCACAGCCGCCCCCTCGGGGACTTTTGGTCAATCCCATGTCGCAGCTATTCATTCAAAATACTATTCTCCAGCACCCTCCAAACTTTGTTCATACCTAGTGCAACTATTCTGCAATATATTAATATATTTTATCTATTACACACACATACACATGCTTATGCACACATAAATAAAAAACTGAAAGAAAATTCAAGAACAAGCTAACAATGGTTTCTCTGCATGGCAAGAATATATGTGAAGTATTCTGCTTTATAACTCTGGTGCTTCCTAATTTTTCTTCAGTGAGCATTAATATGTTCATTATGAGAACATTCTAGAGATACATAATGACATTACATTAGTGCTCCTTTAGTATTGAATTTAAACAGACTACACAGATTTAGAGGAATTAGAAAAAGAAATGCTTAAACACAATTTTCCCCGTCTTGCTGAATTTAAATCTGAGTTTTATCTCGCAAATAAATAAAATTAACTCACCCCAAGTCTTTTTAAACTTGGAATTAAAACCTTTCCCACTGTTGATGTATCCTAGCTTTCTTTTTCCCAGCTTTATTACTCAAAGTGGGGCCAACAGACCAGACGCATCAGCCCGCCCCAGACCTGCTCACTGGCTCCCAGGGCAGGCCGAGGCAGCTGGTCCTCAGTCTGCACCTGAGTGGCAGTTTGGAGCGATTGAGTGGCTTGGCGTCAAACCCTGACAGACATACGGTGCATTCATCTGCCAACAGCTTCTTGCCATCCTGAGTCCTAAGAGATTGATTTACCTAGCTAGCTTGGCTGAGGGCTTCAAAAGGAGCAATTATATTGGTCCCTCAGTGTTTCCCAAAGTGTGGTCCTCAGAGGCAGCCACAGAAGCACCTGTAGCACTTACGGGAAATATGGATTCCTGGGCCCAGTCCAGACCTGCGCCATCAAAACTTTCCTAGGCTGGGACTTGGAATTTGTACCCAAAATTGATCTTCGGCCTGAAAAGTTTGAAAACTACAGCTAGCTCTGGGCCCTGCTCCCCTCTCCTCCTTCCCCCTCCTCCCAGCTAACTCTTGTGCCTCTTTGTCGATTAAAGCAAAGGCAAAAAGGAAGACATTATAATCGGAAAAGGAAAGAAACCAGAAGTGTGTTAGACTGAGTCTCTTGAGCTTTGATCTTTTCCTTTAGAGACAAGCATTGTTTTTTCCAAATTTAGCATTCAAATTTGCTTACCTATTTATTCCTAAATTTTGCATTTCAATAAAATACAAACTGTAACTCTCTAATTTTTATAACCTCTAGGCAAACACCCCCTTTATAAGGGACCTTTTTCCTAAAGCATAATGGTTTGCAAATAGAACTCAACATGCCTTTTAGTAAATATAGGTATGTCTTCCAACCTCTCCTGTTTAACACTGATCTACTCTCCATGGTAATTTAGAAAGGGAAGTAAAGAAATTCAGACATTAGAATAAACTGCAGTGTCCTGGCTCCATTTATTCTAGTTCATATTCCTTTAATGTCAGCTTCTTTTTCATCTGCTTCAGCAGACATTTATGGAGCATCTACGTACCTGGCACCAGGCTTAGAACAGAATACAAGAAAGCCAGGCCTGAGCTGCTCATAAGCTAGTGTGAGAGAGGGTGAGAGCGAGAGGCAAACAAGGAAGATACCCTCCCAGTGCCACCACGACAGGGAGCCCGAGGAAGCAGTTCCTAAATCCACCCAGGGAGCGGTGGGAGGGTCCAAAGGGCTCCAGAGAGGCCGCAATTCTTCAGCTGGAGCATGGAGGATGAACAGGAGCTGGCCAGGTGGACAAGCTGAGGTGGGAGGGGGTGGGGAGGGTCAGGAGAAATTGCATTTACAAAGACTCGGTGGTGAGGAAGGACCTAATGAATTTGGAGAATTACCAGGAACTTGGCTAATGTCAGGTACCCCAGTATGGGGTACCCAAGGATGAGGCCAGGCAAAGTGACAGGCACCAGTTCCTGAGGGACCCTCTGCAAGGCCCACAGCGGTGCTTTTGAGAATGGTGTACTATGACTCAGAACTCCATTTTCATTCACACTGGAATTTTATTCAACCAATGTCATATACTTATAACCTGTGAACTTTTTGGCTGTAGATTGAGGGGGCCTTTATCCAAGGCATGGGATTGTATACCATAGAAGAACTGAAATATTCCCCAGAAGGTGTGCTTTACTCTCGGGGTCCAAGTGACTACAAAATTCCCACCGTCACGGAGATTCCAGAAGAGTTCTATGTCACTTTAGTGCGTTCCCGAAATCCCATCGCCATCTACTCATCCAAGGTGAGAACGTAAGACCTCCGTATGAGTTGGCCAGGTCAGCCTTAACAAATACTACTGACTGGGTGGTGCAAACAGTGGAGACTTGTTTTCTCACAGTTCTGGAGGCTGGAAGTCCAAGATCAAGGGGTTGGCATGTTGGTTTCTTCTGAGGCTTCTCTCCCCGCCTTGTGGATGGCCATCTGTTCCCTCTTCCTGATCTTCCTTCTTGTTTCAAACTTCCTCTTTCTGTAAGGACACCAGTCATATTGAATGGGGGCCCAGCTGAATGACCTCATTTTAACTTAATCACCTCCTTAAAGACCTTCTCTCCAAATACAGTCACATTCTGAGGTTCTGGGGGTTAGGAGTTCAACACATGAATTTGGAGGGGGACAGAATTCAACTCATAACAACCTCCCCTTTCAAGAAATTATGAAACCATCCCCTGAATCTGCTCTCTCCTTTGAGTTGTAAATTCTGAAAGGTAGAAAGGGAAAAGAAAAGCAAGTCTGTGGCAGAATGACACTCACTGACTCCAGAAACCAGAGGAGAGTCTTCATGCTTGAGAGAACTCACGAAAGGAATTTGAATCAAGCAAGAAGGGGCTGCACATCTTGGCTGGTGAGGCTAGTGACGTCAGCTCACCCTGAGATGAGCTGACGTCACAGGCAAATCCTTCCACCCAGAATTCTCTTTCCTGCACTGTCCCGCCCGTCCTCCACACTCCATTCCTACACACACAGCCTCTCTTCACCCACCCCGAGTCAGAATGGGCTTTCAACCAACTTTTCAATGACATTTTGCCCACAGACATTGATAGCTCAGGTGTCGGCCCCATGCTCCCTGGGGCATGTGGCCTTCAACTAGCCCATAAAGACCTACAGCAAGCAAGTGTGCAAAAACACAACTTCCCCAGTTTATGCTCTATTCCGACCAGACAGGTGGCAACTTTAACCTCAGGTCTCAAGACGATTTCCTCTTTCCTAAGAGTAGGTCAAGGTTGGAAAGAAGGCCTCTATCTCCACTTCTGTACCAGACTTTGTCCAAGGAGATCTCTAAAGGCTGGCCCAGCACAGATACAATCCTGCCACTTGGGGTCTACCATGTTTCCCCAAAAATAAGACAGGGTCTTATATTTATTTTTCCTCAAGAAGACACCCTAGGGCTTATTTTCAGGGGATGTGTTATTTTTTTTTAAGTACTGTGCAACAATCTACATTTATTCAAATATAGTTAAGTCATCTTCTTCTGGAACATCATCATAACTCTCCAAACCCCGAATTCCATCCTGAATTTCTTGCGACTCTATTTCCTTTAGAACCATTGGCCCCAATCTCTCATGTCGAGCAACAGAGCTCTCATGGGGCAGATGAGAAGGGCTGCTCGTCTTCTTTACCGCTCTGAGATGAAATGCATGGGTTGTGCAGACACGCTGCGTAGCCACGCCCATCACTAGGTCTTATTTTCGGGGTAGGGTTATATTGTGCAAATGCTTAGAAATCCTGCTAGGGCTTATTTTATGGGGAGGTCTTATTTTCAGGGAAACACGGTAGTCACCTCCCTGCCTATTCAGCTCCAAATGGGGCACGAGGTCCCTCCACCCCACCCCTCCCTCCTCTCTGCCTTCAAGAAACCCCTCCCCCAGCAGCCCACATCTCCCTCCATATTTGCCTCAGAATAACCCAGGTTGCTAACAACCAAAGCCTGAGGAAGCCTTTATCTGCTTGAGCCTTTGTCCCATCCCTCCACCAAGGACACAGAACATAAACCACACTACCTTGAAGAAAGAAAGAAGAAAAATCAGTACAACATCAAAAAAGTATTGGCGAATCATTCAAAATATGCCACTGAACTGTGAGTTCAAAAGCATCCAACATATGCCGTGGAAGTTAGCACACATGAACAGAGGCCACCACCTCACTGTCTTTCAAGCTCCGCTGCAAAGATTGTGGTCGTTTCATTCCGGTCTTGTGTTAAACTCAAATGGTCTGGAGGCAGAGTCGGAGTATCCTAGGGCACCGAGGGCTTTGATCTTCAGGACTTTACCGGGTGGGGGAGCAGGAGTCTCTAGCTGCCCTGACATCCTGATGTCCTGGGGCATTTCCACCAGCTACTCCTAGGAGGATCCCGCCCACAAATCGTCATGGGGGGAATTTGATTATGGCCATTCAAAAGCATTCCACTTTGAAGGTTATAAAGCCAGAAGGAGGAAGTGTGTGGGGGTGTATATGTGTGCATACGCTAGTTAGCCCTCAAAGACCCATGCATTTCTGATAGCCTTTTCCCTTCTCTCAGGGACTAGGTGAGGCTGGGATGTTCATGGGCTCCTCTGTGCTATTGGCCATATATGACGCAGTGGCGGCTGCCCGAAGAGAGAGAGGGCTGACCAAGACCTTCACCCTGAGTAGCCCAGCAACTCCTGAAGTGATCAGGATGACTTGTGTGGATCAGTTTACTGACATGGTAAGGGAGGGTTCCTATTGTAATCAGCCCTTATGTGGACTTTCGGGTTCTTGGTATGAATTTGATTATAACCATGACAAAATTACAAGGCAGGTTAATCTTTTTCAATGAAAATTCTCATTTTGCTTCCACTTGCCACTTCTTATATGCTTCAAAGCAGCTGCAAAGTGAGTGAGCCTCTTTAAATTTTGGTTTAATTGTTTCAGACCCAAAATAAAAGCACACTCTTGAGCCAGAGTGAATAGCAAATGGACCTGGTAGGTTGCTTCTTTAAACATTTTACCAAAATGCGGTTGATGTAGTATTAATATTTTGATTACCTCAATGACCAAATTATATTAACTAGATACCTGATCTGGTCAATTCTGTAGAAAGTATTGGTTAAGCAGACTAATAAAAATAATTTAAATGAATGTATCAAGTCACTGGGCACACCTTGATATGCCTTGTAGTCACATACTAATAGAAGATAGTTCCATTTTCCAGCTACTAAAAATATATCTAGAACTATCATAGGAGAGTACCCCTCTACTTAAATGCTTACTGCAGCCCTGTAAGTCTTTGGTATAAAACTAGATTACACTTTATGCCTTAGAAATTACAGGGCATCTGAGTAGGATGCAACCTATTCGAAATGTAAGAAGTTCATCAGGATAAAGAGACTTATGACTCAAGAAGTGAAACAAAAATTAAAATTATATAAGTTTAGTAAGAATAAAATGACATTAACTTGTTCTTTCCTAAAAAAACATAATTTGTCTTCTGAATGACAGCAATTTTTCATATAATAACATTTTATTAATAACTATCTACCCTTTTTTTATCTTTTTTAGATTCCCAGAGATGACCCTTCAACATTTACACCTTGGTCCATCCATGTGTCTTAATCCTGTGTTTTCTAGAAAATGAAAGAATATATGATTGATCTTAAAAGTCTCAGGCCAGAGAAAAATATAGGTTGGTTTCCAATTATCAAAGATAATTTTAACATCTTTAATGCTACGGTTTAGGTCACTGCATGATTATGTTTTAAGATATAAATTTTCACCAAAAGGTAGAAGCGTAGAATCAAAATTTCAAATTTTAGTTTGCATTACCCTGAAATCTATTATGATTTCAAAATGTGGTAGAATTTTTATTAACCCAAAACAACTCAGGAAAGACTACTCATGCTTTGTTCTTCAGAAATCTGCTCAAAGTTCAGTAAAATCATCCACTGCCCAAACTCTAAAGATTGGATTTCCCCAAAGCCAATGTTGTGCTGGTAATAATTGACTCACCTGGAAAAATCCCTGATTTATAGTGTTTGCCAGTTTCCATGGTGTAAATACTCCTACCTTGGCCAATTTCAAGCCACTGACATGAAGTCTCTGAATGTGGAGTTGGAAAGAGATGCTCACAGGCAGTTCTTGTGTGTGGATAAGAGCTGTCTCCAGCACTGCAAACCACCACAATCCTCAGTCCCCACCACTCCCACATGTCCATTTAGATGAGGCTTCAGGAAGTAACCATCCAAAGCCTCCTGGTCTTCACCTGCCAGGAGCCAGGTACATGATACAACTTCTTCCTCACCCAGGAGATCACACTGAGTAAAACAACAATCTTAACTTACTCTTGAGTCCCTTGTTTTATCTTAATGTCTGAAATCAGAACTACTTTCCTTTTGCCATCAAACAAGCACAAAATTCCTGGGGTTCTTTTTCAGTTGTTTCTTAGCTATTTCACATTGTGTTTTCCAAAGATGTTCAATCCCACATGAGGTTTGAAAACAAATATGAAAACAAACTTTTGTATTGAAAACACAAATAAATAATTGTCAAGGATCTATGTGCTAGATATTAAAGCTCTGTATTTATTAATAGTAACTTTGTGGTAGAGAATAAGTGTGTAGAAATTGTTTATGTGTATATGAGACCAGCCAGGTTAGGAAAGGCCTCTTTCCAGAAAAAGAAAAAGAGACTCACTAGTCAATGTCTCTTATTCTAAGAGAAGTATGTGTGTTGTGTGTGTGTGTGGTGTGTATGTACATGTATCTTTAAATGTCTGTTTGAATGCCCTCAATAACCTAGATTTCCCGGAACCTACCCCACAAGAACCTCACTCATTGTGCCAGACAGAACAGTAAGAATAAGGTCACTGGTATATTTTTCTAGCAGTAAAATAGGAAGACACATTTATCACAAATAAATTAATTACAAAAGTGTTATACTTCATGGACTGTAGGGACACAGAAATTCGCAGAAATTGCATTTTTGCAAAATAAATCTAATCATTTCAACAGTATTTCATTACCTTGAAGAATTGGGGTGGGGGATATATTTACAGAAATAATACATTTTAAAGAATAGCAGGTTTCAAACATATGATTAATATCCTAATGCCTTTAAAAATTAAATTGATAATTTATAGTGTCTATTCTATTACACACTTAACCCATATTACTAATTCAGATAAATATCTATCATTGTCCAATTCTAAGTTGTTATTCCAGTGATAGTTGGACTAAAAGTCCAAGATGCAATCTTTTTAACCAGTGGACTCAGTAAATGATCAAGCACCCTTTTGATGATAAAAGCACACGCGATCATTAACTCTGGGCAAAACTGCTAGTGCTTGCTCCTGGTAGAAACTTTTTATTACTGTTGCTTAATTGTAGATTAAATCAAAGTTTATCAAAAGAGAAATAATGTGTGGCAGTTGCTATACTTGCTGTGCTTCTCCTTTTTTGACTTAAAGTACCTGTGGTGAAGGATGTCCTACTTCTCCTGGGCCAAAAGTTTATGACAGAAGGGTTAGTATCACCTTACAAGAACTGGAAAAATGGAGCTGAGCGAAGAGTAGTAGACACAGAGTTGATATCTGCTTAGTATCTTGAATCTGCAGACTCTTGCATGCACTCGGGTTTTGGAAAAGGTCAAAAAGAGGCCTGAGACAGAGGGCTTAGAGATTTATGTTGTTTCTTTCAAGGAAAAAATCTTTAGATCCTCTGCACTTGATACTTGCAATGACGTAAATTGGGCATATTCCGCACACTATCAGAACACACAGTATCGCAGGCGGAACTCTCCAGACAGAGACTGAGTTCGGAGAGCAGGATGTTTCTCAGGGCTTGACACCTGGCGGAGGGAGGAAGGTTGAAGAAGCAGAGTGAGGCAGAGGGGGAAGTGGAGCTGCGGTGCAGCCTGAGGAGCACCAGGGACCTGGCAAGGAGCCCTGGGAGCGAGCATTGTCCCAGAGTTGCCCTGCTTAGCCTGAAATGTCGCCCCTGGATCACTGCAGTCTCTAATGGGGCTGCCGCAAGAAGGGCGTGACCTTGAGGAGGGAGGCTGTCTGCCCTGAGGCTGTCCCTGCAGGCGCTGGTGGCTGGAGGCCCCTGTGGACTCCACTCCCCCTGGGCCAAGTCCTTCCTCACAGGGTCGGGCGGCCGCCTCCTCCTCTACCACTCAGACCCATCGGAGCTATTCCTCCGGACTCCCTGAGTTTATTAATATGCAAATCTTGCATTGGTACAAGTAGCAAAATCACATTTAGTTATACACTAGATGAATTTCCTCTATAGAAAAGAATAATTTTACATTCAAAGAAATACACAATTTACATTTTGTAATATTTTAAGTCAGCACTTGCCCCAGAAGTTCCACGTTAAATGTTTGCTGTATGCTTTCCTTACTTATTCAAATGTCTTTAATGAAATTCAGTTATTAGCATACTGTGTGCAAGTGCTGTTATTAATTACAGATAAAACTTCAGAGAAAAGTCTCTTCCCTGAGTTGCACTATCTGGAATTGACACTAATCCAAAAAATTGACTTGCTCTGCATAAATAAGTGATCGTGAGGAAATGTTCAAGAAAATGACTTTCGGCAGAGCACTAAAGCCCTGAGTTGACAAAAGATAGGTCTGTAAGTAGCATTATAAGAAAACATAAATTTACCCCAGAATGTCATAGGAATGCCTTAATATTAACTGTAGTGTTAATAGCTATTTTTTTATCTAATATTTCACAAAAATTACAGAAACAAAGAATCGAAATAAAAAATCAAAGAACTTTGGTGACAACATCAATCATTTGATTCGCTTGCTAGGGAATATACTATGAGACACTTCCTCTTTGTCATTCATTAAATTCATATATATACTGGGATCTATTTTTAGAGTCTTTCATCAGTTTCACTGATCTAGTTGTCTGTCCTTACACCAACACCATAACTAATATGAGTAACGTGTCAAGTTGTCCCTCACTGTTATTTTTCACATTCTTCTTAGCTATTTTGTTTCATACCCTACCCCCCAAAATTTTCATTTTATTCAATTTCCCCTCAAAACTTAAGTGGGATTCTAATTAGAATTGTATTAAATTTATAGATTAATTTTAATAGAATTTACTTCTTATATTAACTTTCCATCTGAGAACATTATATGTCTTTCCATTTACGTAGATTTTGTTTCATGAGTACATTCCTATACTTTTCTGAAGGAGGGCTAAATTTATACTTAAGTATTCTATGTTTTAGAGCTACTTTTAGAGCTAAATAAAATTTTTGCCACTTCCACTTTTGAGTGCTTATCTATATAGTAGTAAAAGCTATTAATTTTTTGAATATTTACATTATATCCAATCACTAGATCAAGCTTTCTGTGCCAATGTTTATATCAATTTATACCAGTTATTTCAGTGTTTCATTATTTTACTACATCTATTATAACCTCCAAGGCAATGTTATACAATAATGGTAAGACAAAGCATCCCTATATAATCCCTGATTTTAATTGAATTTTTTTTACTTACCTTTAAGGATAATATTGTTACTGGTATATTATCCTTTGACACATTGCTGGATTCTAATCACTAGTATTTTACTTAGAATTTTTTCTATCTATATTCATAAGCAGGAATAACATTGCCATTATATTAATGATTACATAAAATTCATCTGTAAATTCATTTGCTCCTGGTGTGTTGTTCAATGATACAGTTTTAATCTTTTCCATTTTCTTTTTTTTACTAGTTAATGGTTAATTTTATATTATGTGATTCATATCACAATAAAAAAGTAATGATGCAATAAGGGTAAAACAGGTAGCAAAGATCACTCTTCCTTAATAAGTTGTCTTATTGTTTACATTGGCATGTTACCACTTTGACCCTTCTATGTTTTCATCCTCTCTTTTTTTGACTTTAAATGTTTCTCTCGTAAATAGTATACAGTATATCTAGGTTTGTGGTTTTTTCCTGATCCAATCTGCTAGTGGTTATTTTTAAGTGGTAGAATTAATTTCATTCACATTTCTTATAATTATTAAAAATTTTTGCATTTTACTTCATGCCTATTATGTTTTACACATATAATATGTAATTTAAATTGCATAAGTATACAGAAAAGGCATACCTATCTAATCCCTGATTTTAATTGAATTTTTTTTACTTACCTTTAAGACTAATATTAGTTATTGGTATATACTGTGTATTTTATACCATGGTTTCCATCTTTTTTCCTTTTCATTATTTTTGCTGGTCTTTTCCAGCTATCAGCAATTCTATTTCTTCTCTTGTTAATTTGGAAGTCAAACTGTACCACTAGTTGTTCATTTCCATTTAACTCCTCTAACGCACACATACTTCTCTACCACTAGTTGAAAACAAGATATCAAATATTTCCCTCACAGAAATTTACTCTTCCCTGGCCTCCTGCTCTGTCTGTCCCAGGTTTCCACCCCATGCCCCAGGAAGATAATACTTAGGTAACTAAGTATTCTCGTCCACACCCCTAGCCATCCCCAGCCCTTAAGATATTACAGTTGCTGTGTGTTCTAGTTCTAGACTCTTCATTGAATTTCCCTTGCATTATGGCTTTTTATGATTTATATTACACATTCCCAAACAGCCTGCCCTTATCCATCGAGGCTTCCCTTCCTCTTCACCTTTCTTATCTGAGCTGGTTTTTGTTTGATTTTCATCTAAGGTGGGGTGGTCTTATCCCAGGTGGGAAGTTTGCTCCACCTGCAGGGTCTCCATTGCCCTGTTTTCTCTCAGCGACCAGAGACCCTCACCTCCTGCCCTCTCATGTCCACAATGGCAGCCGAGAAGTCTGATGCCAAATTGATTTCTTTTCCTTCATAGGAAACTTAATTGTTCAGCCTAGTACCTTGTGAGATAGTCCCTTTTTCCTTGGAGTTCAAAAGTAGTATCGGGGCCGGGCACAGTGGCTCACACCTGTAAGCCTAGCACTTTGGGAGGGTGAGGCGGGAGGATTGCTTGAGGCCAAGAGTTTGAGACCAGCCTCTTGGGTCTATATCAGTTTCCCAGGGCTGCCCTAACAAAGCACCATGCCCTGGTCGGCTTAAAGCAACAGAAAGTTATTCTGTCACAGTTCTGGAGTCTAGAAGTCTGAAATCAAAGTGTCAGCAGGGTCATGCTTCTTCTGAAGGCTCTAAGTAAGAATTCTTCCTTGCCTCTTCCTAGCTTGTGGTAGTTGCCAGCAATCGTTGGTGCTCCTTGGCTTGTAGATACATCGCTCCAATCTCTGTCTCTATCCTCACATGCCATCTTCCCTCCACATGCCTGTCTTCAAATCTGCCTCTCCTTGTAAAGACACCAGTGATTAGACTTAG